TAGGTTGAAACGGATGGGCTTGGTTTGGGTTAATCCAACAAGATGTGCACCTTATGTCAAGATTCGATTCAACAACAAAATCTTCATTTTAAATTTGAAATACCGAAAATAAAAAATCGGAAAACATTGTGATGGTATTGAAATCAATTAAAACATTGAGGACTTGATTGTTTCGATTAGAATTTCAAGAATGAAGTTGAAACATGACTCATACTTGAAGAGTATAAATCTTAAACTGCTCAAACAAAAATTATACTTCAACCTAGGCCATGTGCAACTTACGTGTGTATTAACTAGTACTAGCAAAATGAGACCCATGTTGTGGTAACAAAAAAAAGTCTTGTGTTTATCATTATTTAGGATTTCTTTCGTGTTTTTGTAGGTTAGTGATGCCTTCTTAATCTTGTGACCGATCTTCCATGTTTTTTTTTTTTTTTAATAAGAATCAAACTTTTCCTTGATATGTAAAGTTAATATTGTCCAAGCAAAGGTGGACAAGTAGTCCAACCTATTACATTCATAATATGAAAATAAAACAAAAAAAATCAGCCACCAACAGTTAAAAACTATCTTCCACAAGTTGCCATCCAATTTGTTGTAATGCAAAATAGAGGGATACTTTCAAACTCCTTCATTACAGAGCCCTTGCACCACCACCTAAGCCTTTATACTCAACTGAAAACATGGACGATATTAATTGCAGCGTTACCCAACAAACGTCCACTAGCACAAATAATTTATTCCAAAAGAACAATGCAGTAGAACAATGTAAAAAACCTATTGCAACTTGCTCTACATATAACACACCATTGTGGGCATAAATTAGTGTAAGGCCTACTCCTTTGTAACACATTATAAGTATTAATCTTGTCATGAGCAATCATCCATGCACACACTTGCACTTTCAAAGGCACCTTAACGTTCCAAATCTTCAATGCCGGATAAAAAAGAGTAATTGAAGCATCATCAGTCAAAAATTCAAAACATGATTTACATGAGAAAGAGCCCGATGAGCCAATGATCCAACATCTTTTGTCCAATAGTCTTGATTCAAAATGATAGAACTAGCAAGGAAAGAAGTAAAACTAATTCCGAAGACTCTCTATCATGTAAATTCCTATGAAAGCCAAAATCCTGAGCAATTGGATAGGAATCCCAAGCTATTATTATGTTTTTTCAATGTAGTAATGTACCGAAGAATTCTCTTATTTTCTACAAGCAAAAACTTAAGTTTGCTTTGCAATACTGGCAAATGAGCTGCAATTTGTGGCCTCTCTTTCTTCTGTGTTCAAATTGTTTATCCTTTTTCTATGACACAAAGGTCTTCTTTTTAGGTTTGCTTCGACCAAGCTTGTATTGGATGCTGTAAAGAACATTGTTTCTGATTACTTTCTCATACTGTAATCTATTTTTGCCATTTTCCCCATTTCCTGTATCATATTTGTTGAAGGTGCAACTACAAATTCAATCAAGGAAATTATCCCTTATTTTTGTATTCATGCAGGGTGTTGATATCATGCTCTCTCATATAGCAGTGCTCCTTAGGATTAGTTTTTTGGGTTTAAAGTGCATTACCTTTGTATAACTACTATGCTGGTGGACATTACTCATAATTTCAATGATTTTTCCGTGGACTTTATTTAGGAGGTTGGAAGAAATATTGGATGCTTTTGCTGATAGAGTCTCAAAACCTCGCCTCTTTTTGATAGATAAGATGCAAATAGCTCTTGGTAAGCTTGGCTGTGGGTTTTCAACTTTCTTTTCAGCTGACATAACTTATTGTGAAGCTATTGTTCTACTAGTTTCCCCTAAACGTACTTGGTGATGATTTTGCTTGTCTATTCTGTTGATCGTGCTAGTTAATCATTGGTTTTGTTTTTGGTTTGACTGAAATTTTCTATAGTGCTCAATTTCTAAAATATGAACCAAGGGAAATTCATTTTTTACTTCAATTTTCAATAGTTTCTTTGAGATTTTGTTGGTGGTAATGTTCGGTAAAAAACACAAAGGGGCCTTGACCCTGGCGTTATTTCCCTTATGGGACCAAAAAAATAGGAGGCGTAAGGGTATCACATGAATGTTGTGATACATGTTGTATCATGCGATTATGTGGCCTGATACACTAAAAATACAATACAACTCCGTGAGTTGTATCACATTCCTTTTGGTCGAACCATATCGTACAATTCCCAGTCATAATAACCATAACATACAATACCCTATCGTACAATCATAAGAAGATTGGTTTTGAGAATGGCAGAATGCATGAAATTAATTTGTACTGTCCATTCTCGTGTGTGTTTGGATAGTTAATAGTTTACTAATTTTTATGTGAATACGACTGTACACCTGGGACACATTAGAAGGATCACATGCAAAACAGTAATTTAATCTTGAGGAGGGACATTTAGAAGTTCAATCACTAATATTCCAAGTCAGTGATCTACTTGCCATTCATTTTTTTATGTTGTACAATGTTTTCAGAATGGAGGGTAATTTTGTCTTGCAGGCTATAGAAGTGGGTGATCATGATTCAATTCAGATTGGGGTTAGTTATGGCTTATATTAATGGGCCAAGCTTGATGCATTGAATGATCCAAAAATGTTCTAAATCTTCTAGTCAATATTGAACTTCAAGACACCTTGGTCCCAAATTTCCTTCGCCACAAAGTTCTTCTTGGTCCGCACTTCTTAACTTCTATGTGAATGATATTTTGGCTTTGTTTTGTGTATGGAATTGAGATCTTGAGCCAGCTTTCTTCTCTTCTTTTTCTCCTTGTTCCCTCTGGTTCCTTTGCACGTTTAAAGGCTCATAAGACCTCCAAACTAGGACTGTCCAGTTCCCTTTCATGCTCCGAAAATCCTATTGATCAAGCCCCAACCTGTTCCCTTCAGTCCAACTTATGCAACCTTGAGAACAAAACCAATCCTTGTTTAATGTCCATGGTTACTGTTCACAGCACTTCAAACAGTCCTAAACGTCTCCCTTCTTTGCCATGTTAAGGCTCAAAGTGTTCCACTCCATCTAGCTCTTTGTAATCCTTAAATCCCTAAATTTCCAGCAATTTTTTAGCCACAAATACCAGTGAACTAGGCCAAGTTTCTTTTCTTCTGCTACATCCGAGTTAGGGCAGAGTCCCAAAAGGGTCCTACATCCCCCTAAAAATGTAATTCGTGGGAAATCATACCCCTTTCTTTTGCTCAGTGAGTTAGTCTTTCTTTTCGAGGCTGAATATGTAGTATAACTACATGTTCATTTTTACCCAGGGTTTTGTTTCCTAATTTTCATTTTCTTTGTTCCCTCTGAGTGAATAAGACAATAAGCTATCAACCTCAGCGTTTGAAGTTTGAACTGTCTCTAATGCTTCCTTCAAAAGACCATAATACAGAGCAGGGTACTCTAGAACTTTCTCCATGGATTCAGAGTATGCAACATTGACGTCCTTGCAATTGTCTGTTTCCAGATTCATTTGTCTATAAAATGTGAAAAGTATGGTGACTCTAATTAAGAAATGACAATTAAAAACCGACATCTCTCTATAGCTTGTTATAAATGAGGCAGAGTTGAATCATAATGTATGAAAAACCTGAATCATGAGCCATAAGGTTGCATAAAAGTATTTGCCCCAAGGAGGAATCCTAGAATTCCGTCTGTTTTCTGTTTTCTGTGCTTGGAAAGTGTGGATTTTCAAGAACGGGAATCTTATGATATGTTGGGAATTTCTTATGATAATCATCCACGCTTGAAACGTATCTTAATGCCAGAAAGTTGGATAGAATGACCCTTACATAAGGATTATATTGCCCCCAATTTTATGAAATACAAGATGCTCATTGAATGATAAGAAACTAATCTTCACTCCTAGAACTCCGCCAGTACTAATATGACTTAGCAGAGTCATATCCAACTTGGCACCTTTCGTTTTGAGTTGATACATTTGAAGTGATTATTCCTACTAATAAATATCCTTGACTTTGAGATATGAGCAATTGTTCAATATCAATTATCACCAGTGTATTTTCTCACACAAGTTTTCATGTGAGACAGCATGCTACCAATCCCATAAGAACTCTCACACCGCATTCATTCCATGCAGCACATTTCTTGTTATCAGGAAATGCTTCTTTTAATTCCTTAAAGTATTGCCAAACTATTGAAGTCTTTTGTTAGTTACGAACATATTTTTCCTTACATTGTTCCATTGTTGTACCTGTAGGATCTGTATCCACCTTAGAGTCATGCGCATCCTCATCTACTTTGCCTCAAATTATGACATTCTGTTCAGAAGAATGCATCTGCATATGACTCAAAACAGTGTTAAAAAATATAGTCATAGTTTTGGACATTATTCCGAGAAAAGAGGATTCAGTGAAGAGAGTAACGGGGGAAGATTTCTGTAGCAGGTTTCTTGCGTGAGGTGCCATTGCATTTGGATATCTGCTATCATAATTAGTACTTCACTTTAGTTGGGAATTTTTTCCTTCATGTTTCCCCAGCTTTTCTCCCTTTGGATATGTAGTTTATATGTTTGCTTTGTGGACATCAGTCCTGACCTTCCACACTTGACTTGGTACCCTGATGTGCAAGAGTTGATTTTTTAGTAGGCATTTTATGTCAGAGAGGATAACAGATGATTAGATGTCATTTGTTTTGCCCAACTTAATGTTGGTATGTGTGTGATGTAGTCAAGTTAGTTGTAAACTGAATCTATTGATGCCGCCCTCACGTCTTTGCTCTTTGCTGACAAGTTAATCTTTTGGGAGTAATGCATCTGATCCTGATGAAAGAAATCTGAAGAGTGATTTTGTTGTCCTTTGCATCTCACTGTTGTCCATTGGTGGAAAGGGAGTGGATAAAGATTGGGTTGAAAATGAGAGTCTTGGTGTAATTTCAGGATTATTTTTTCGTTTAGTATTTCTTGTGTTTACTTTCTTAATTCAGGTATTGAAGTATTGTTCTTCTTATTATTTTTGTTATTGTTAATTAGGGCTGCCTGTAAATGAGCCTTATATGCAACGGGATGATTAATATTGTTATATAGAATTGAAGTTCTCTATTCCTCTTTTTTCTTCTCGCTTTATTCTTCCTGTCTTCCGTCTTTCTCTTTCTCTAGTTTCTCTCGTTAAATTTCTCGTTCATAATCTCTACAACTTACTATGTTGCTCCTGCATCAACTGGTGATCTGATCTATTTTCAATCAACTGCACGCAGCTGGTGGTTTAGGTCATGGTGTAGCCCATGCTGTATTTTTCTGTCTTAGTCTCTTAACACCTGCATTTGGGCCAGCGACGTTTTATGTGGAGAAGTGCTCACAGATTCCATTTTTTCTTGTTTCTGGTGAGTTATAATTTCTTATTATATCTAGTAAATTTTAAGATTATAAGACCTGAACAGGCATACTGGTTCTTGTAGCTTATTTGAGCTAGCCCTTTTTGAAATACAACTTATTTTACTATGCCATTGATTATTGATGAAATGGAATTCGGATGTATGCATGACCTTTTGATTTGTCAGTGCTCTTAAAATAAAGTGTTACACTTCGTCTAATATATTTAATTGAACTGGATAAGAAGAGTTTTGGGTTTGACAGTGTTTATTTTCTATCTTGCAGCAATTATTGCTCTTGCATTTGTTACAATCCACACTTTCTCTATGGTCATTGCATTTAATGGATACGCAGAAGGGAATAAGTTTGACCAATTCTTTGTTCCCACAGTTCACCTGCTTGCAGGAATGCTGGTAATTACCTCCTCTATTCTTATACTTATGACATGCCTCTTATATATCATGAATTGAAATTCTAATGTACAATTGCCATTCACAAAATGCATATGCAATTTAAGTGGTGCTCATAGGGCTCGTTTGGTTGTTGTATTAGAAATAGATGGATTGAATAAAGCCATAAAGGAATCGACTGTAATACAATACAGATGGCAAAAGACAAGATTAGATGGGGTATAAGAATAATATGTAATTTTATCTAGGGTTTAGTAATATACAACATAAGCGTTGGATAGTAGTTATTTAGTCCAAATCGTTGTTTGGTTAGAAAATTATTTCATCGTATTAATATTGAATTAACAAAAATACCCTCAATCAATATTTGTTATGTTGATGACAACTTGGTTTTATCAGTTATGGAGTTATAATTTTAAATGTGTACAATAATACATTTAAGTTGAATTATAATACTACCTCTTTTGGAGATATTAAAATATCTCAATAATACAGGTCTATAGTATAAAAAACATACGATAAGTATACAATTAGTATACGTTTATGGAATCAAATTTGTCTACTAGANGTGGTCAGAATTCGTTCGTAGAAGATGAGAATGCCAGTTCCGAACTGAGAAAGGCGTGTGAGAAATCCTCTCACCCGCCATTGGTGCACCTATTGATGTGGGAGGGCTCACAGCCAGGTCATTTGGTTTTAAACGGAAATCCTCCTTCTAATTGGAAGCTATTAAGGGTGCGAGCAGCCCCGGCTAACAAATTGGTGAGGTTGAAAGGCCCGAAGAACTAAGTTTCACCCAATATGCAACTCGGTTTTCTACATAAATGATCCTATCGTATGTAGTACGGAAGAAGGTCATTAGTTCTTGTAGTCAGAAAGAAGAAAGCCAAAAAAACTGTTTCACCCCTTTAAACTAGCTNTATTCAGTGAAGAGAGTAACGGGGGAAGATTTCTGTAGCAGGTTTCTTGCGTGAGGTGCCATTGCATTTGGATATCTGCTATCATAATTAGTACTTCACTTTAGTTGGGAATTTTTTCCTTCATGTTTCCCCAGCTTTTCTCCCTTTGGATATGTAGTTTATATGTTTGCTTTGTGGACATCAGTCCTGACCTTCCACACTTGACTTGGTACCCTGATGTGCAAGAGTTGATTTTTTAGTAGGCATTTTATGTCAGAGAGGATAACAGATGATTAGATGTCATTTGTTTTGCCCAACTTAATGTTGGTATGTGTGTGATGTAGTCAAGTTAGTTGTAAACTGAATCTATTGATGCCGCCCTCACGTCTTTGCTCTTTGCTGACAAGTTAATCTTTTGGGAGTAATGCATCTGATCCTGATGAAAGAAATCTGAAGAGTGATTTTGTTGTCCTTTGCATCTCACTGTTGTCCATTGGTGGAAAGGGAGTGGATAAAGATTGGGTTGAAAATGAGAGTCTTGGTGTAATTTCAGGATTATTTTTTCGTTTAGTATTTCTTGTGTTTACTTTCTTAATTCAGGTATTGAAGTATTGTTCTTCTTATTATTTTTGTTATTGTTAATTAGGGCTGCCTGTAAATGAGCCTTATATGCAACGGGATGATTAATATTGTTATATAGAATTGAAGTTCTCTATTCCTCTTTTTTCTTCTCGCTTTATTCTTCCTGTCTTCCGTCTTTCTCTTTCTCTAGTTTCTCTCGTTAAATTTCTCGTTCATAATCTCTACAACTTACTATGTTGCTCCTGCATCAACTGGTGATCTGATCTATTTTCAATCAACTGCACGCAGCTGGTGGTTTAGGTCATGGTGTAGCCCATGCTGTATTTTTCTGTCTTAGTCTCTTAACACCTGCATTTGGGCCAGCGACGTTTTATGTGGAGAAGTGCTCACAGATTCCATTTTTTCTTGTTTCTGGTGAGTTATAATTTCTTATTATATCTAGTAAATTTTAAGATTATAAGACCTGAACAGGCATACTGGTTCTTGTAGCTTATTTGAGCTAGCCCTTTTTGAAATACAACTTATTTTACTATGCCATTGATTATTGATGAAATGGAATTCGGATGTATGCATGACCTTTTGATTTGTCAGTGCTCTTAAAATAAAGTGTTACACTTCGTCTAATATATTTAATTGAACTGGATAAGAAGAGTTTTGGGTTTGACAGTGTTTATTTTCTATCTTGCAGCAATTATTGCTCTTGCATTTGTTACAATCCACACTTTCTCTATGGTCATTGCATTTAATGGATACGCAGAAGGGAATAAGTTTGACCAATTCNTGAAATGGAATTCGGATGTATGCATGGCCTTTTGATTTGTCAGTGCTCTTAAAATAAAGTGTTACACTTCGTCTAATATATTTAATTGAACTGGATATGAAGAGTTTTGGGTTTGACAGTGTTTATTTTCTATCTTGCAGCAATTATTGCTCTTGCATTTGTTACAATCCACACTCTCTCTATGGTCATTGCATTTAATGGATACGCAGAAGGGAATAAGTTTGACCAATTCTTTGTTCCCACAGTTCACCTGCTTGCAGGAATGCTGGTAATTACCTCCTCTATTCTTATATATCATGAATTGAAATTCTAATGTACAATTGCCATTCACAAAATGCATATGCAATTTAAGTGGTGCTCATAGGGCTCGTTTGGTTGTTGTATTAGAAATAGATGGATTGAATAAAGCCATAAAGGAATCGACTGTAATACAATANACTTATGACATGCCTCTTATATATCATGAATTGAAATTCTAATGTACAATTGCCATTCACAAAATGCATATGCAATTTAAGTGGTGCTCATAGGGCTCGTTTGATTGTTGTATTAGAAATAGATGGATTGAATAAAGCCATAAAGGAATCGACTGTAATACAATACAGATGGAAAAGACAAGATTAAATGGGGTATAAGAATAATATGTAATTTTATCTAGGGTTTAGTAATATACAACATAAGCGTTGGATAGTAGTTATTTAGTCCAAATCGTTGTTTGGTTAGAAAATTATTTCATCGTATTAATATTGANGGTTGTTGTATTAGAAATAGATGGATTGAATAAAGCCATAAAGGAATCGACTGTAATACAATACAGATGGCAAAAGACAAGATTAGATGGGGTATAAGAATAATATGTAATTTTATCTAGGGTTTAGTAATATACAACATAAGCGTTGGATAGTAGTTATTTAGTCCAAATCGTTGTTTGGTTAGAAAATTATTTCATCATATTAATATTGAATTAACAAAAATACCCTCAATCAATATTTGTTATGTTGATGACAACTTGGTTTTATCAGTTATGGAGTTATAATTTTAAATGTGTACAATAATACATTTAAGTTGAATTATAATACTACCTCTTTTGGAGATATTAAAATATCTCAATAATACAGGTCTATAGTATAAAAAACATACGATAAGTATACAATTAGTATACGTTTATGGAATCAAATTTGTCTACTAGACAAAGTATTAGACCCGATTAGAAAGTTTTAATTTGTTTTGACTCCTTAATACACCCCTTAATACTGCAACCAAACGACCCAAACTGATGGCCTACAACTTACATGATATAATAGTTGGTCATTTTAATCGATCTCGACAACTGGACCTTGAAACTGAGTTGTACCTGGGCATTAACCTGAATTGTCTGTATATTGAAAATTCCAACTTCATTTTGAGTGAGTTTGAAGATTCTGCATAATCAAGTTTGGTTTGATGGTTAAGTGGATCCTCTGACAAATAATTTTGGATAAAACACACTGTATTTAGTATAAAGATGAAGAATTCCTTATGTGCATGTGTCTTATAGTATAACAACAACTGCAGGGCATAGTATGCACATTATAGTACCGTTGTCTCTGTAAAGTGTTGATTAAGTTGCAAGCACTTGCCTTATTTGTGTTCAATGTTGTTCTTGTGGCTGTGAAGCGGCAAATTTATGCAGTAAACGGCTGTTTTTTAGAATTGTTTTGGTGGGGCAGTATAATAAATGCAATATTTACCCAGGAAAAGATAGTATTAATCCAACTTGTACAATGAGCAACATCTTTCCGGAGGGGGAATAAACTTAAAAAGAAAAACGAAAGCAGAAGTAGACAGAAGCGAAGTAGTAATTGAGAAAATACAGGTGCTCTTGTTCTGCACTTGGAAAAAAATGTGTTTGTTAATTTCTCCTTTTCTCGCTCGCAGACACTGATAAATCTTGCATCTGGGGGTTGCATTATTGGAATTCCTCTCCTCTATGCAATGGCAATCTTGACCTTGATGCATTGTGCGAAGATGGTTTGGAGAAGATTGACAGACACCCGAGTCGGTCAGGGAAATTCGTAGTAACAGCTCATTGATGCTAAGCCACTTTTATTTTGCACCGAGCTGATGCACTGTAGGTGTAAGCAGGTACGTCAAATTACCCAAACATGTTCCTGTTGCATGAAGACGTGTATAGATCATGTAGCACATTTCTTGTAACAAAAATTGGGTACTGTTTGGCAACACTTGCTTTTAGTATTTTCTTCCTTTTTTTTTTTGGAAAGATTTGTACAAGTTATATGTTTTGTCACCACTTTGTAGAAAATCTTTAGGTTGTTTGTTTCTTCAAGTATTTTTTATAATGGCATTTGTTTTTGCATATTTTGCTTTTCCCTTGTTTGGTGTTACTCCGTTCTTTCAAGTTTAATCGCATCTATATTAGTAGAAATGTTTACATATATAAGTAGATTACCTTGGTTATACTGATCAATTATGTTCCTGTTTTTATGATGAACTTGTTTTTAATCCTTAAAAAAATTAAAGCATTACCAAATGGTAGGTAGTTATCATTTGAACCTCAAGGCAAATCCGTGATTCCTCTTTTTTCTTTTTAAAATAATTTTCTTCTTCAAATTGAAACTGCATTACAAATCTGTGTAGATTTCAGTTGCAAATGTAGTGGTGTAAATGCTTACCAACTGTTTGGATAATGGATAGCTGAGAGGGGAAGGAAGCAGAGCAGAAGTCATTTGGCAACCAAACTGTATCATCAGGAACCATTAAAATTCCTCCCCATTATAAACAGTAGAACCCTGATCCATGGAGATACGGACCCATTTGTGCGGTCAGAATTCGTTTGTAGAAGATGAGAATGCCAGTTCCGAACTGAGAAAGGCGTGTGAGAAATCCTCTCACCCGCCATTGGTGCACCTATCGATGTGGGAGGGCTCACAGCCAGGTCAATTGGTTTTAAATGGAAATCCTCCTTTTAATTGGGAGCTATTAAGGGTGCGAGCAGCCCCGGCTAATAAATTTGTGAGGTTGAAAGGCCCGAAGAACTAAGTTTCACCCAATATGCAACTCGGTTTTCTACACAAATGATCCTATCGTATGTAGTACGGAAGAAGGTTATTAGTGCTTGTAGTCAGAAAGAAGAAAGCCAAAAAAACTGTTTCACCCCTTTAAACTAGCTTGTTTTAGTCGATTTTATTAGCTTGACCCTTTTTTACAAAGGACAACCATCTTATTTCACCCAATCTTTTTTCTTGAACTCCTTAGTTTGGATGGGGATTCAAAGATGTTGGATCAGTTCCTTAAGAGTAAAAAATAATCTTACCGAATCTTATAGTTTCTTCTGAGTCGCGGGTTTCTCTCTCTCCTAAATGCATAAATTTAGCCTTGGGAAATAAAAAATCTATATCCACATAGAGTGTGGTGTGGCCGTGAGGTGGGTGTTGGAGTTGGTGAGTGGATGGGGTATTTGTGTTGGTGTGGCCTACGGTTATTGTGTTTGGTCGTAGGGTGGTTGTGCCTGAAATGTGGAGAGAGAGAGAGAGAGAGAGAGAGAGAGAGAGAGAGAGAGAGCAATGTAGTCAAACTTAAGAGACCAAGGGAGATTTCTAAAATTCCTTAACATTCAAAGTGCCATTCATGCACTAGAAAATTTGGAACGAGAGTAGTTTTTAATCCTCAAAATTGGTTGGTATTACACGTCATTGTATGTACTTTCTGTTAGTAACAACCAAAACCTCTAGAATTCGCCATCTTGGCTAAATCCAATGTAGAACAATCTCGGAGTGGATTGGACCTTGACCTAGCACNTGTAGTTTTTAATCCTCAAAACTGGTTGGTATTACACGTCATTGTATGTACTTTCTGTTAGTAACAACCAAAACCTCTAGAATTCGCCATCTTGGCTAAATCCAATGTAGAACAATCTCGGAGTGGATTGGACCTTGACCTAGCACGTGACTGAGCGTGCCTAAGGTAAGGGCAAAATCTATCAGTTGTCTGTCATAGATAACGGTCTTATTGGTCAGTTAGGGCAAACCTATTCACCACTGACCCCCTGAGTTTTTGTCTCATTTGGTTATGGGAAAAATATGATGAAAAATCTCATTCAAATGTTTTTTTCTCACCCGATATGAATAGTGTCCTTTAGCCCATAAGAAGGGTGGATTAAAAGTTGGATAACATATGAAATTATTATATTGCCCGCAACCATTTGGATTCTTATACGGACAATTTAGTCAAAAAGGAATGAAAAATGGAGCATCAATCAAAATGATTTGATAATCATGTTGGGTCTGTTGAAATTAGTCAAATACAACCTAAATATTTTTTATAAGTATTTGGAGTTTGTTAGGCTCAACTACGTATTATAAGTGGATGAATCAGATAAAATAATACGATTTAATATAATACAGATGGATAAAGGACAAGATTAAATAGGGTATTAGGATTGGTAATACACAATTTAAACTTTGAATAATAATTATTTAATCTAATCAGTTGTTTGGTTAAGACATTATTTCATGGTATTATTAATATTGAATTAACAAAAATATCATCAGTATTTGTTACATTGATGACAACTGGATTTTATGAGTTGAGAGGTTATAATAGTAAATGTATAGAATAATACGTTTGAGTTGGATTATAATACCATTTCTCTTGGTGGTATTAAAATACCTTCATAATACAAATCTATCGTATAAAAAATATACGATAAGTATATGATTAATATACGTTTTTGAAATTAATACGGTATCAAATTTGTTTATCAAACAAAGTATTAGACTTGATTAAATAAAAAATAATACAATCTAATATTTAATCCTATCATAATACGTCTGCCGAACGAGCACTTTATGCGCTAACTGAATACATTGTTTTTTTTCCGTATATAACTGAAAACATTGTTAGTTTGCCTTACCCTCTACAAATTTAAATATCCAAAAACCTTTGAACATTCTCTGATTTTCTGTTTGTCACTGTTGCAGAATTCAAACCCTACTTCATTATCTGATTGTGCAGATTTTTATTGGATGGATCATTGCATTTTTTTAAAATATGTGCGTGTGTGTGTTTTTTTTTCCGGGGGGGGAAGGATGGTGTTAGTACCCTCGACCACCTGCGGCCACTCCCTTGCCTAATGTATTCTTGAAAGAGTTGAAGGATTAGATTTACTTTTGTACTTGGTTTGACATTTTTAATGCAAATGGGAAAACATAAAAAGAAACATCACAGCTCCATGCACAACCAGTTGACACCGATGTTTTAAATTTCAAAAATTTAACTTCAATGTGGAAGTTAAACATGACAAGAGTTTGATCAATGGACAGAGTCTGTAAACTAATAAAAGAGCCTCAAAAAATCTGCGAGGTCATCACAAGGCAATTCGTATAAATTTTGCAAGTGTAATTCAGTAGCAAGAAGAAGTACAATAACAAAGTCACAGCTTTCATACAAAAAATTCTATCATTAAACATGAAGCAACACTATAAGAACGGAATCAGGGATGTAATTCAATACAGTCGTTGAATTAGTTGGTAAAATTCACTTTCAAATTTCAATCCAATGACTACAAGAGGCTTCGAATAAAATAGTGTTTCAACAAATAAACCAGATTTCTAGAATAAACAAAAAATAAAATGATCCGACACGTACTTATCCATCCGTTCCAAGTGATGCATGGCAGATTCAAATTCGAGAATTAATCTCTACAAATTGGGCATAAGACAGTCTACCACTTACTCGCCTAATCTGCCTATATACAAAAGTTTTGTGCATTGAATATGACAAAAAAGTAAACAACCCACTCCTGCCCAGAGTAAAACCGGAAAATGTCAATATTTCCAATGTCTTGGGATTTTCAAGAATGATGTATAGATGTGGCCGCATTGTCAAAAGCCAGGCCATGAATATATTTGAGCAATNGGATAAACAAAAAATAAAATGATCCGACACGCACTTATCCATCCGTTCCAAGTGATGCATGACAGATTCAAATTTGAGAATTAATCTCTACAAATTGGGCATAAGACAGTCTACCACTTACTCGCCTAATCTGCCTATATACATAAGTTTTGTGCATTGAATATGACAAAAAAGTAAACAACCCACTCCTGTCCAGAGTAAAACCGGAAAATGTCAATATTTCCAATGTCTTGGGATTTTCAAGAATGATGTATAGATGTGGCCGCATTGTCAAAAGCCAGGCCATGAATATATTTGAGCAATGCCGCTTTAAACACTTCTAAAGTAGCATGCTTAATGCTTTGTAATTCCAAACATTGTACTAATATGAATCAGGCATCAAACACAAATTTTCAATATTAAGTGCAAAGCATGAGATACAGAACCATCAAAACAAATTGCCGGCCAAAGTGAGAAGCAAGTAGAATGCCCTACTGTTCTTAACCAACATATGCCAAAAACAGTTGCCAAAAGCGATAAGAAAACACAGTTCCAAAGATGGTACCTAAAAAAAATTACTGACAACACATCCAGTAAACAATTCTTGAATCATTGCAACTTTCATGCAAACAAGGTTGATGGATGACATGAAGACATATTTAAAGCCTCTGATATGAGAAGTCGGCCTCAAATTAGAACCTGCGAAACTGCCTCTTCATACTAAATTTATTAGTGGAAAAATCAAGGAATGTTGCATAGAATCAGAAGAATGTCACAAAATGGGAATTGATATATAAATTTGATAAAACAAGAACTCTAGAGTTTACTACATCTTTTGATTTACAGCTTAAGATACAATACACCTAGGAAAAGAAAGTAAAAATGAAGGAAAGATGATTAAACAAGGCAGGCAACAAAATTAGGAGACCGGGGAATTTTTTGTCAATCCTCATTCATTTATACTCACTGAGAAATTGACATAAGCTTGTGATATATGATTGAGAAAAAAAGAAATAAGGTTGAATAAATGAAAATATAAATATTGGTAAATTTTACTGCTTGTCTGTGAGCTTCAATCTGTTGGTCATTTGAGGAAGAACTTCCATATCTCTCTGTCAGTCATCTCTTTGACTAAATGGGCTCCAAAGATTCCTTCTTCATCCACCAGGCTTCTCAGGTGCCGTGCTGCGCTGTTAAAGCCGACATAATTCTTTTTTGTGGCCAAGTATAGGACTCCATAGGGAGGCCTCAAGCACTGATGATAAGAGACAGGAGGAAAACATCAATGAAAAAGTTTAGAAAGTGAAATGGAGAACCAAATGAGACACAAATATAAGCTGCAACAAGCGTGAGCAGAGAACATTAACATCTTAAATCACAATTCTGTGGAGTAGGGATTTCACAATTGCATATAATAAGACACCTAGCAACAACCAATAGGCAGTCAGCCATACGTTTGAATTTTTCCCAGTTTTAATTGATCAGTATATGACATCATGCATGAAGGGTAAAAAAGAAAGGCTCTCACCTTTTTTATTAGTCCATACAGCTTCTTCAAGGAGGTTACTGAGTATGGGATTTCTGTCAATAGAATAACATCGTAACCACCTTCTCCTTGGTCTGTCTCACTAGCCCTTTCCCATGCCCTGCTCCCTGAAAGCTTCCTTGACCGCCTTGAGGAAGATTCATGCCCTATGATGCTCCCATCTTGGCTACTACACACATCCATGAAATCCTCCTCTGAAAAACTCAGGCTCAACCCTGTTGGCACTTCAGATACATCGTTCCTCACAATAGACAAGACAGTTGGGAGTTCTTCCCACTCTCCAGCATAAAAATGCACAGCAGGGGTAAGTGTTTGCCTTGATGGTGTCAATGGGCTCTCCGGCTGCCGGCTTTGCCTGTCACGAGCCTGTTCAAGATTGGCCAGAACATTTGGAATAGTTGTGCATCTGATTGTTTCTGCATTTAGGTCTTGAAAGTGAACTGTAGAAGCTCCCTGCACGTCAATGAAAAATATTATCTTGAGTTATAGGTACATAAAAAAATTGTTTTTCATTAAGATACAGAATGATCCAAGTGTAGTTTCTCCAGCACAAAACTAGACCAGCATATTTACTTGACTTACCCATTTAGTTCCCATGTGATCCCTCGTAAAAAGGGATAATTTAGGCAAGGGAGGAAGAGAACGAGAGAAGAAAGAAGAAAGAAGAAAGAAGAAAGAAACATGGGTACATTGAATAAATATATGTGCTCCAAACTTCATAAGCACTCTACCTAATAAAACTTCCATGTTAAAGTCAGGAACCAGCAACAGAAAGGGCCCACTTCCAAAAAGAGGTACAAGGACCCAAAATCTCTTTGATTGTAGAGGAGTAATGGCAGTTAACTGCAGTAATTTGACCTTCTAGTTGTCTCCGGCAACATTATATGTTGTTGGCTAGTGAATAGTATTTAAACTTAGTTGGCTAATAGAATGCCACTTGTATATTAATCAGGAGTGATGGAAGACAAGATACATGCAGTGTCCTCATACCCATATCTACAACCTCAAGATTCTAACCTAGGCCATTGCTGTCATTTCAGAAAACAGTAATTCCCCGTCTATGCATCAAGTAATCAGGAAAATTTCTCATTCTTCATCAGAAGATCAACACGTTCAAGTACAAGTTGGATTGGGAATATTTCTTATTTTTTATATAGCTTTTTGGGTATAGTAAAATTGCAGTCCAGTATGTTGAGGAATGTAGCAGCAGATTAATGTTTAGAAATACAGAATTAAAGATAAGGAAGGTGCCAGTTATGTTAGCTAACAGATATCTCTTAGTAGATGTTGAAAAAAAAAAAAAAAAGAAGGTAAAAAAAGCAAATTCTGAGCTCCGTTCCTGGGTGCAGTTTGAATTACTATACGATTAATTTAGATACCTGAACCTAGCTAATGGAAGAATGCAAAGAAATTACAAATGGGAATTGGGAAAAAACATTTACAGTCTTCTATGCATGCAAGAGGAATACAGATTTGATTACCTAANGCAGTTTGAATTACTATACGATTAATTTAGATACCTGAACCTAGCTAATGGAAGAATGCAAAGAAATTACAAATGGGAATTGGGAAAAAAACATTTACAGTCTTCTATGCATGCAAGAGGAATACAGATTTGATTACCTAAAATCATTCCATCATGATGATTACCAGTATTACTAGGTCTCTGTGTTGGAGCACATGTACATCCACATTTATTATGCATCACCAATTGCGTATAAATATAGAAAGTTGCTCCATAAGGGTTTAATTTCAAAGATTGCCAATTCATAAAGAGATCCACATATAAATTCATTTTCCTTGTAATTCAGTTCCTTCATGAAACAGGAGATGGAAAAAAAGAACCACCAAGATGAGTTCTGCTATTTGTACTTTTAAAGTGAATTAACAGAATGAGCACATACTAAANAGAGATCCACATATAAATTCATTTTCCTTGTAATTCAGTTCCTTCATGAAACAGGAGATGGAAAAAAAGAACCACCAAGATGAGTTCTGCTATTTGTACTTTTAAAGTGAATTAACAGAATGAGCACATACTAAAATAAAGAGAAGCAGAGGCTAAGATCACGAGTATTATACCTTCAGGCAAGCAAATATTCCTGGGAGGCCATAGCTGCAACTAAGCTGAAAGAATAAAAAAACACAATTAACTCTCAACTTCATATGCATAAGGTTACCTAACTTGTTTTTTTATTTCCAAATGCCATCAATTTTCTAATAATTATATGCACAAAAGAGATGACAGACTATGCTTCCAACAAGCAAAAATGAAAAGGTTAGGGAAAATACTTCAATGCACAACTTAGTGTCCACAATGCATGCCAAGCATTTTCTGAACAATAATTTGGTGCCCACTTCTTCACTAAAGAATTGACATCTTTTGATTCTCAAACAATCCTATGCGAATGGGGTTATTGTTATAAAAAGTGTGGAGTCTTATTATAAAAAGTTCCGTTTACATTTGATTTAGAATGATATCAGGGAAAAAAAGATGATTGAAATAATTAGCCATGCGAATATGGCATCCTTTGGTCAAAGTTCAATTCAGTTAAATTAGTGTCCCAATCTGTGAGAGAGGTGACATCACTTTAACTTTTCCTACCCCTAAAATTACCCTTCCAAAAAGAAACATTAACATTATAGATAACACAGCAGTTAAATGGGTAGTCCAAGCATCTAAAATTACAGGGAGGTAAAGGCGAATAACAGACAACTATTTTATTCTCTTATCTGGGAAAACACAAACGTTTTGCAAATCTTGAGAATCATGACCAAGTAACTTAAGTAAACGAGAAACTGAAAACACACCCTATTTGTTGTAAAGTCGCAGCAGGAATAGATGTAGGCATAAAAAAGTACTACCTCCACCCCTTAATGATTATCCACTTTGACTGCACACATAGTTTTAGGAAACCATTTATATGCATTGACTTTTGTCATAAACTTTTTACATTACCGTATTACCCCTCATTGGAAATAGATGCCAAAAGTCCCAACCAATTTCAAAATTTCAATAAGCAATCCAACAATGGTTATCTTTGGAAAAGTAGAATTAATATCCTCTGACTCGTAAATTGAGAACAGTTAGGGACATCCCAAGATCAAAATGTGGACACTTTTTCAGGGACAGAGGAGTATAATTTATTGAAGAATTTTTCCACAAAGGTATAATGTGGCTTGAATTTTTCTAATAACCATCTAAAATATATAGTGGCAAGGACTGGGAATATATATGTGATACAAATAGAAGATTTCTTTTTGGAAACTATGTTGGAAACAAATAACCTAAATAAGTGAGGCAAGGTGATCGAAACTCATGCTAACATTTTTATGTGGAGTCTGCCTTGACCTTGTGTAATAGCCTGTTCTCTATAACTTAAGTTCTATTTTATGCTTGCCAGAATTTACCTTGCTACCTGCATGTTTTGTTTATAATTCTTTTGTTGAGCAAGCACAAGACTTCTTTAACTTCCAGATATACTGAATTTGGACTGTACTGGCGATCCATGCAACTTACGTTGAGTCTGCTTTTGTTATTGGGTATTCATGTGATACTTGGTAGTTCCATAATGGTCTGCTTCAAAACTGACAAACGGTAAATTTTGGCATCATTCTAATCCTAGCAAAGGAAGAAATGTCCAGCATCCCCTATATGTATCACCAATTTTGAAACCATAATCCAGTTTTTTAGAAAATAAATGGTTGAAAAGCGTCAATATCAATAGATAATTCAATTTAACTGACCCTTTAAACTATGGTAATATGCAGTATAAAAACTCATTATGTTACTAACTGGATAATCATATCTAGGTTGAAGCATGGAATAAGTATTGCATAAGCTTTGACTTGAAATACCTCAAGCACCCTTTTGCCTCTAAAGCTCAATTGTCCATCCCGCATCTCATGCTTAAGGACATTTACAAGATCCATTGAGCTATCCCAAGATTTCAGAAATCCTGCACAAAAAGTGGATTAGATTATAGTCACCAAATTCAATGAACTCCATTGAGGTTCAAGCCCTTGGGATTAGTCCAAAACTCCAAGTCAAATGAAAACTTCAATTTGAAGAGAATACTTCCTGGTGATGTACCTACCATCAGGTTTTGATGATATCATTTCTGAGCCAGTAAAAGCAATTATATCAGCAACACTAACTCTTCCCTGCGAGGCAACAGAAGGCATTAATCAAGATAATTAATACTATAATTAAATAAAAATGCAAAAGTGATTAGAACTAGGAGCTGTGACTTGCCAGTATGTACCTCTGTCCACACACACACACTCATATATATATATATATATATATATATATAGAGAGAGAGAGAGAGAGAGAGAGAGAGAATAATGCAACATCATGATCCTGATTTATACAATAGTCCAAAATCTATGTCATGTACTTTAAACACTATGGGTCTAACTACAATTTCATAATCTTATTTCTTGTTATGTACCAAATTAAAATCTCCTAAGTGATGTATATAGTTATTCGAGACCATCAACTGATAACAATTACTCTGCATGAGCTCAGGCTGAGCCAAAAGAATGGACCACAAGAGTTTCTACAGCTATTCGCGCATATGACGGGACCACTCAAACCACGCAAGGTATAGTTCGACTTAATCTCCAAGTACACCCCTCACAAAACATATTTTGTGCTTCGGAATGAACTCTAAGAAAGAAAAGAGGCTGTACTTCTGCTAAAGAAAACGACTATCTCCCAATAAAAAAGCAGAGGTAAAATCACAAAACAAGCCCCATTCCCCCCTCCCTTTCCCAACCACCAAATGGGGTTTCACTGTTTTTCAGCTGAGTCCAAGGAATTTCCATTTTGACACTTTTTTTTGCTCAGTCAGACACCTAACATCATCAAGCACTACCACCATATCAGCATGTTTGAAATATAATCCACATAAAAATGTCGTGATTTGAAAACTGTAATTGCATACAAAAATAGTGAACCAAGTGACAACTATAGGTTCCATCTCAGCCAGGAAAACTTTATTTTACAAGCAGGATACATGCACCAACCAAATCATTGCACCAAAACTTTTTATACCTTCAACATGTTGATTCCTGCCAAGTCTACATTGTCCTCAGCACACTTGTAAGTGTGAGCCGCCTGCACGAAAGAAAACAAGTCAATTCAAGTTCTATTGCAATGCTGAGTACACCTAAAAAAAGGCCTGAATCACACAATCTCAAAATAAAGGAACTTAAGTATTTTGTAACACATCAAGTGACTATTTGCATGAATGACATGAAACAACCTGACAGAAAATCTACCTTTGATGGGAGAATCTCAACAGCCGGAGAAGGGAGATGCACATCCCTCTCCGAAATAGTGGACATGCTGTGACTTCCACGATCATGAGGTGCCAAGCCAGGCAAGCACTGTGCAAGCAATGAAGGTGCACGCATTGTAGCCTTATCCTTCAGATAGCAAGTTCTTGGAAAAAAAAAAACCTATCAATCACAACACTTCATATAAATATTTTCCAAAGTAAAGCATTGCTTAAGGGGTTCCATAATCCATTGTTTTCCTCATGTCTATATGATTAAGCTGAAATTCTTAGAAACATATTGAAGACCTTTTCTGTAGCCTAATGAGTTCATGTAATCTAATAACCATGACAAAAAAAAATTGCAAAAAGAAAGGAATCAGGATTATGCGAAAATGGATGTCCCATCACCCAAAAAAAAAAACAAACCTAGATCAACAAATTATATTATACCAAATAATCTCAACTCAACTCCAGTCAACGCAACAAAGCATTGTCTCAATCATTTTGGTATTAGTTGCATGGATCCTATTTCATCGTTGTGCTCTATTATATGCCATATTTTCTCTTAAATCACATTTTTTTACTATCTCATTTAAAGACAATTTCAGTATTCTCTATGCCATGCATTACCATCACTGACTATCTTATCAGTCCACCTTATTGGCACAAAACTAGTTCTTCTATAAACATGCTCATTCCTAATTCTATCATTTTCTATTTTTGCTATGTATTCATTTTAACATTCACATTTCCACGAGATATAGATTTTGAGTGAGTGATTTTTCAATTACCTAACTTTCAATACCATAAAGTATATCTATTCTTATGACCGTCTTTCAGTTTAAGAGGCAGTTTTCAATTACACAATACACAGGCACACTCTTTTACCTATTCCATCATATTTTAATTCTACGAGCAAATAGGGTTACAAAAAAAAATTAATAAATAAAACAAGCAAGTACTTTGATAACAAATGTGGAAAGGAGAGGTCTGACAACAAGGGTTAGGGGGTGAGGATGGGTTCTATTTAAGTTTACTTTTTGTACATGTCTATGTTGGTAGTGGAATATGGAAAAATCACTTCTGCAATCACCAACCAAAAATAGAATTGAGGTAATTAATCAGAATTCCATATGGCCTTTAATTTTTGAACATGTAAAACACTAGTAAAACTATGAAACAATGCTCTCAGTTACAATAAACTCATCTATCTCACACGAAGTCTTTTGGACATTTGACGCTGATTTGATTTTTATAAATTTTAAGCCATAGTGATATAAATAAAACCTTAAGAACTTTGAAAAAGAAAATTCAAAGTAAAGTAAACCAGAAAACCCAAGCCCCAAGGAAATGAAATTCCAACTAAAAACAAATCAATATACCAAAACATGTAAAGAAATTGATAACCAGAATTTGAACTCATTACATTAGCAAGGCCCCTGGAGACAATTTTTAAAAAGCCCTTAAATTTGAAGAATTCGATACTGCTGAAGGGGAAACCAACAAAAAAAAAGAAAAAAGAAACGAGCTAAACTACAATAAAGAATCACAATCTAGAAGGAAATCAAACATTAAATAGGTATGTAATATGAATATGTATAGAAGAACAAGGAAACAAATTCTAAAAAACCATGCCATACAGGGAAATCAATTGGAAAAAAGAGAGATAAATTACAAGAGCATAGTAAATGGAAAATGATAACGATCAAAACCAAAAATATCTTCAATAGCATAGAAGAAATAAGGAGTAACAAGGTCAACCGATTCTCCTTTTCTCAAAAAAAAAACACATTTTTTTTTGAGTGTTAGGCTTGTAAATTTGGTTTTCTGTAGGATATTAATTCTATGTTCATCAATCCATAATTAACAATCCAAATAACAAAAAGATTGAACATTGTGGAGACACAAAATTGTACCTTACCTTGCATCCATAAAACAAACCCATTAATCATAGAAGCAGAAATATANTTAACAATCCAAATAACAAAAAGATTGAACATTGTGGAGACACAAAACTGTACCTTACCTTGCATCCATAAAACAAACCCATTAATCATAGAAGCAGAAATATATCTAACCAACGCTCAAATTTCCTTAAACCTTACAAGTTGAAAAAAAAAACAAAAAAACAAAACTAGCCCACATCTTCAATTGCATCANTATCTAACCAACGCTCAAATTTCCTTAAACCTTACAAGTTGAAAAAAAAAACAAAAAAACAAAACTAGCCCACATCTTCAATTGCATCAGAGAACAAACCCCATAAACAAATATAAAAAGCAACAGCATCGAATTCACACAATCTGAGAGTACAGGACATACCACACAAACAATGCAATGAATTAGAAGCTCTTCCCACAAAATCTATACCCAACAACGAAGACCCTTCAATATATTAATAGAAGATCAAAGATCAAAGCTTGCAATTTCAGAGAAAATACACCCTGCAATGACCCGTTCTCCACGTCAAAAGAGAACCAAGGCGAAGCATAGACGCGGAAGATGCGAGAGAAGCTTCGGACTTCAGACTTCGCACTGTGATTATCCGACTTCATACCCCTAAACGTTCAAGTAATTTCGCAAATAGCCTCGGGCTTTGACGCTGCTATAGTGGTGTTACCGTAAATTTAGGGCAGAGACAAGGGCATTTATGTAATACCATTTTCGGTACGCTCGCGTGGACGGAGAGAACGGTGAAGGAAAGTGGCGGTTGGTCGGCTCTCGACTCATGGGCCCCATTAGTATTTGTATCACATGAGTAAATATGTTGTATTATATTAATGTTTTCACGTGATGTAATAATTTATAGGGAGAATTGGACTGCTTGAAATTTTTCCCATAATTTTACNTGTTGTATTATATTAATGTTCTCACGTGATGTAATAATTTATAGGGAGAATTGGACTGCTTGAAATTTTTCCCATAATTTTACCGTTTTTTTTTATATTTGAAATATTAGAAGCATATCTTTAAAGTTTGTATGTACGTAATAGTTAGATAAATATATTTATTAATAATTATATTTAAACCCCTTAAAGTTTGTAAGTTTGTAATACTTAAATCTTTTAAATTTAAAATATTATACTCAAACTAAAAATATTCTAATAAAAGAAAGAATATCAAATATTTTAAATTTTATAATTAAAATTTATGTTATACTGTATCATTTATTGAAATAAAATTAAAATTAAAAAATTAATTTTTTCTTAAAAAATCGTAATTAATATACAATTATACTATCTATTAGAATAAAACTAAAAAATCAAATAAGAGGTCTAAGTCATTTATAATAAAACATGAATTTTACATCCAAAAATTTTGTTTTATTATGTCATTTATTGAAATAAAATCAAAAATAAAAATCTAGTTTTTTAAAAAAAATCATAGTTAGTATCTATTAGAATAAAACTAAAAAAATTAAACAAGGGGTTAAACTGTAATGAACATAATATCTTTTAGCTTTAATTGAGATAGTTTAATAATTTAATTTGGTCATTTAAACGACCAAATTAAATTTCAATAGACAATATAATTGTATACTAATTACAATTTTTTAAGAAAAAATTATAATTTTAGTTTTTATTTTATTTCAATAAATGATACAATAGAACATGAATTTTAATTATAAAATNGATGTAATAATTTATAGGGAGAATTGGACTGCTTGAAATTTTTCCCATAATTTTACAGTTTTTTTAATATTTGAAATATTAGAAGCATATCTTTAAAGTTTGTATGCTTCATAATAGTTAGATAAATATATTTATTATTAATTATATTTAAACCCCTTAAAGTTTGTAATACTTAAATCTTTTAAATTTAAAATATTATACTCAAACTAAAAATATTCTAATAAAAGAAAGAATATCAAATATTTTAAATTTTATAATTAAAATTTATGTTATATTGTATCATTTATTGAAATAAAATTAAAATTAAAAAATTAATTTTTTCTTAAAAAATCGTAATTAATATACAATTATACTATCTATTAGAATAAAACTAAAAAATCAAATAAGAGGTCTAAGTCATTTATAATAAAACATGAATTTTACATCCAAAAATTTTGTTTTATTATGTCATTTATTGAAATAAAATCACAAAATAAAAATCTAGTTTTTTTAAAAAAATCATAGTTAGTATATATTTATACTATCTATTAGAATAAAACTAAAAAAATTAAACAAGGGGTTAAACTGTAATGAACATAATATCTTTTAACTTTAATTGAGATAGTTTAATAATTTAATTTGGTCATTTAAACAACCAAATTAAATTTCAATAGACAATATAATTGTATACTAATTACAATTTTTTAAGAAAAAATTGTAATTTTAATTTTTATTTTATTTCAATAAATGATACAATAGAACATGAATTTTAATTATAAAATTTAAAATATTTAATATTTTATTTTTGATTAAAATATTTTTGATCTAATATAACATTTTAAACTTAAGAAGTTTAAGTAATATATGTTTATAAACTTCAGGGGGTTTGAATATAATTTATTAATGAATATATTTACAGAAAGGGTCTAAGTGTTATACGCGTACAAACTTTAGGGAATCTGTGTGTGATATTTTTAAATATCAAGAATTTAAGTGATTAAGTGACAAACTTTCAGGGGCCTGAGTATAATTTTTCCTAATCTATAATATAAAATAAGATATAATTCAATTTGACGGTCTTAAATAGACTTATTTAACGGTCACTAATATTTCTCTCAAAATTATTTACTTTGCATCGTACATTAAAAGATAGATCGCTCATAAATCATACTTTTTTACATGTATATTATCGGATTGGGTAGTTACTAAACTTTGTTTAGTTCCCTTATATATTTTATAATTTATCACTGGACAAATCGACAAATAAAGCACACACAACTCAATAACTACCTCNTCGACAAATCGACAAATCGACAAATAAAGCACACACAACTCAATAATTATCTCATATAGAATATGGAGTTCAATTTTTTTGTTTAACAATTTTTTTATTAAATAATTACTTTATAATTTATAATATAAAACATAACATGTTTCAATAAACTTAATTAACGATCTCAAATAAATTCAGTCAAGAGTCATCAACATCTTTTGCAAAATTATTTACATTGTACCGTACTTTCAGACATGAGTTACCTTTAATAATCTATATAATAAAGTAAGACATAATTCCAATCTCAAAAGATAAACAAAATGATTTTTATTTTTTGCGGTTGATATTTTTTTTTAATTTTATTTAAAAAAATTAATTCGAAGGCTAATATTAGTACCCCAAATTTAATAGAGAAAATAGGCCCTTAAGGACGTGTTTAGGGTAATTTTTTAAAAATACTTTTAGAACTGATAACTTCTCATAAATATTTTTTTTTTAAAAAGTACTATTTAGAACTATCCTACCATCACAACTACAACCACCACCATTATCCCTCCACCATAACTATCCCCACCAACACCACCAACCCCACCGCCCCACCACCACCATCATCATCGTCGTCACTATTGTCTCTATCCCACCACCACCAACGCACCACTACCCTACCACCATTATGTTCACTATCATCATCGTTGTCGTCACTTTACCACCATCTATCACCATTGTCACTCACGGTTGCCACTATCACAACCGGTAATCGTCACTCACCACAACCATCATCGTTTTTCACCACCACCACTACCACCGCTCATCCCCACTATAACTCTTATTTAAATTTATTTTTCTCTTCTATCTTTGTAATTTAATTTTGAGTGTGAATATAAATATATTTATTATTAATTATTTTTTTTGTTACTTCGTGTCTTCAGGTACAAAAAATAACGAGTAATATGATATTACAGTTATATTAAATATTTAATCATATAGAGTACCAATGCGCGTATGTTTTGACCATGTGGCAGACACGTAGGTGGGTTGGTGAGGACAAGGGACAAACTAAATCAATTTTTCTTTGACCAAAGAATTGGTCCATTTTTTCTCTTTAGAGAAATAGTTTTTTAGTAACTTTTCATGTTTCTATGTTTTGGTTGGGAAGTTGGTCTGAAATTGTCCAAAAGGAAAATTCCCTTCTATTTTCTTTCCTTGTCATCATTCATTCATTCGAGTTTAACTTGAACAAAGCATTAATAATTTATAGGTTTCAATTTAATCTTAACTAGTTTTTATTTTTACAACGATAATTTTATTCAATCTCACAATATTATAATTGATCCCGAAAGACTATTGGACAGAATTTAGCTTAGACTTTTCTTTTTATCCCACAAAAATCAGACTCTTTTGTCTCCTTTCTTATTTATCTATTTTCCTCTCAATTAGAGATAAATAATGCTCCGTTTGGTAAAAATGATAGAAAATATGAGAATACACTTTCTATCACTTAAGGAAGGAAACACTTTCATTCATTTGTGCTTGATAAGATAGATGAAAAGTAGAAATAATTAATTTTTTCGAGTTTGGTATTGCTGAAAAAAATAAAAAGATAAAAATAATATATATACGTAATTTATTATTTTATCCTTACATGAGATTAGTTTATATATTATACACCATGTCACTATAGTATATGTGTCATGTGTTTTAACAAACACAAATCACATGAAAATACATCTATTTTTTTATTTGATTTTTTAAATAAAAAAAATAAATAAAAAACTAATATACAAACACACACACACACACATAAAGTGTTAACACATAATGTAATTCCATTGATTGGTATATGAGTTGGGTTTAGGTGTTTAATGTAAATAAGTAATTAATTAAAGGTTAAAAAAATAAATAACATATTTTTATCTGATGTGAGTACTATTTTTCTTACTTTTCTGCCCATTTTTGGAAGGATTGATTTTGGTGAGTTGGAAGAAAAATTCATCCATCCACTTTTTCATCCTTCTAATTGTTCTTCCTTACCAAACATGTTGNATTTTTGGAAGGATTGATTTTGGTGAGTTGGAAGAAAAATTCATCCATCCACTTTTTCATCCTTCTAATTGTTCTTCCTTACCAAACATGTTGTTTCATCTATCTCTCAAACTTTCTATCTTTCCAAATTTCAATCATTCTATTTTTCAATTGTACTAAACAGAGCATAAATATATGCGCTTACATAAATAATATNATTGGGTAGTTACTAAACTTTGTTTAGTTCCCTTATATATTTTATAATTTATCACTCGACAAATCGACAAATCGACAAATAAAGCACACACAACTCAATAATTATCTCATATAGAATATGGAGTTCAATTTTTTTGTTTAACAATTTTTTTATTAAATAATTACTTTATAATTTATAATATAAAACATAACATGTTTCAATAAACTTAATTAACGATCTCAAATAAATTCAGTCAAGAGTCATCAACATCTTTTGCAAAATTATTTACATTGTACCGTACTTTCAGACATGAGTTACCTTTAATAATCTATATAATAAAGTAAGACATAATTCCAATCTCAAAAGATAAACAAAATGATTTTTATTTTTTGCGGTTGATATTTTTTTTTAATTTTATTTAAAAAAATTAATTCGAA